GTTGAAAATAGGTATATCATTACATGTATAAAAACGTAGTCATGCCTTTCATTATTTGTGAAAGTTTGGGGGCTGGAGATAAAAGGTATTGAATGGTTGTAATAAAAAAAAACCGGCGAAGAGCCAGTCGATCTAGCACCGTAAGGGTTCTGTACCAATATTATAATATAAAAAATTATAGGTTTAGAAAAATAAATAAAATATTATTCTTAATACAAAATGCTTAAAAAATCCACTTGGTCCCTGGCTAGCTGAGATGGGAATCGAACCCACGACCTTTCGCAATCCGGGCGACTGCTCTAACCGCTGAGCTATCCAGGACCTAGGACTGAGGAATCTTTCAAGCACTTGTTACTTTTCGCTACTGCAGAGCGTATTCTCATCAATGTTCAGGCATTAGGCTGTTTGGGTGGCTGTTGGTGGTGTGGGCGTCTCTTGGCTGAATTGATGATGATGATGATGAACGACTGATATTCATTTGAAATAAGACGTAAAAAGAAAAGAGCTAATCTCGTTTAAATCTCAATTTTGGTGTTGATGTTAATGTAATTATAATAGATATTCTCTTCGAAGATGTTTATCTTAACTACCTATTCACTAATAGCACACATATTATAATACTATACTAATAATAGTTATCGGTTAAGAGGATTTACAAGATTATATCTAAACTAGAGAATAACAATTGCCAATGAGAACTAGTCTGACAGTTAAAAGTAAATATTGCTACTCTGGTTTATGATCTATTTATTTTTAAAATAATTTAATATGTAAAAGGTAATTAGCTACATAATTAACGCTTAAACAAATTTTTAAAATTAACTATCTCTTATATTTTTGTAGATCAGTTTCTCAAATTGTTTGTTGGTCCGATAATTATATATTTCCACCGTTTTACAGTATAACTTACGTTCTAAATGGTTTCAATTTGTTTGACTACAATCACACTAGCGCTACCATACCTGACTAAAATTGGTCTTATTTGGCTGAGTGACCCGCCGCTGATTTCAAGGTGTCGCCATATCTGAGGTTTCTGGAGAATATAAATCTTTGTATATTTACTCGGATCTGGGCGTCATATGCGTTATTTCAAAATTTCATAATACAATTACTATAGTTTATCTGACAAGATCTGAGCAATGTATGTGATGTTCTCTAATATTTAAAAATAATAAAACACATAGTTTTTTTTTATTACAATTTCAATGTTCATGTCATTGAAACACTCAAGCTCGCCAAGCTTTTGCACTGTAGGTATAGTTTTGTTATAAATTGTGAACAAAATTAATGCCAAATAATTAAATTAAAAATTATGATGTAGTAACAACTAAAAATGAGTTAATTAACGCTTGCAGTTAAAAAAAAATGAAAAGAAAATACAATACACTCCTTTTTTGAGGAGACGTGTAAAAATGTTACTTTGTTCCCAAGATAAAAGGTCCAATCGTCTAATATTAAAATTCAATTTGGCATTCGAAATATTTTATTGGACGCTGCAATTGTTTGACATTTTATAGTGATTGAGACCGCGACTTTTTGAAAAATATTTAATGAACAATACCGTTTATTTTATGATAATTGGAATTGTTTAAGGCGAGCGTTACTTCCAAGTTTAAGTACAAATATTGTTTCTGGACCATTCAAATTATCATTCGCTCCGAAAGCGATTGCAACTTTCGCTATATATTATAACACAATATATTTGAAAGGAATTGTGACAGATAATGAAATTAGACAATTAGTCAACCGGCTGGTATTTATTGTTTCTGGATCATTAAAATTGTCTTCCACTCCTAAAGTGATTGCGGCTTTACACGTTATAGAATTCGATAGATAATGAAATAAGACAGTTGGCCAAACGACTCGAGCACTATTTCAATTAAAAAAATCGTAATAGATATTTTTTTTGTTTATTTACTTATAGTTCTTCTACTTAAAGTTGTGTTTTTGTGAGCAGATTGCGACTGGCTCTACCAGGACGTGTCGTGTCGGGGTCCTGGCACCTGCGTGCTGGCCAGCCCTGGGTATCCTGGGTTGTACCCACCGCACAGAAAATGTCGATACCTCTTCGCCACCAACTCGGTCAACACCAGAGTCAAAATCATCTTCACATCCATATTGTTGCCTAGAAAGTAAGTAATTTGATAAAAAAATAAAACCGAGTAAAAGACAAAAATAATATACTTATCTCAAAGGCGGTTCATATTTTTAGAACTATTGCAGTCAGGTGTATGTTTTGTGGATTGATTAATATTATCTGAACCTTTGAGAGAAGTGTTATTTTTCACTTTAATGAAGTCGGTTTTCTATTGTCTTTTTTTTAATAGAAGAAAGCAAATACTTTTGTTATAAAAGCAGAATTGATGATCCAATTTTGATAACTTCATCATATCAACCCCACAAGCTTTGGAATAAAAAAAAAATTGTCTAAACTTCGGGGAAAAGTCAGAACATTTAAAAAAAATAATACACATACTGGTCGAAAACAGAACCTTCTTTTCCTTTTTTATTTACCAGTTGGTGAAACAAAAGGTACCCTATGATTTCCAGTATTAGTTTCTTAACTTTTTTTTCACCGTTGAATAGAAAATTTCTTCAGTTAATAAAACGATGAACAGCGTCCAACTCGTCGTCAAACGCAAATCTTTATAGATTACTATACGTATAATATACTCTATGGCAATTGTGCTCTCCATCTTGTCTTCGTCATATCGCGCCAATGTGTCTTGTCCTTTATCTCTATGGTCTTGTCATTTTTACTCTTTATAATTTACTAATTAACCACGTGTGAGTCATGTCTTTAAATAATGAAAACCCAATCACATAAAACAGCACTTTAATTAGTGTATTCGTAATAGTCGAATAATTTTTGAATAACCATTGCAAGTTATATAATATAAATATATAAAATGTATTTTGATATTTGTCTTATAAAAGAAAACCTCTTAAGAACATTTCCCTTGGAGATTTTGCTTTTTTAAAACTTTGTCAGTTCTTGGCAGATATGCTAATCAAGGGGCGCGGCCGGGGATATTTTACGTCAAATCCGCACGCAATTTCCTCAGTCGATACAGGACTTAAGCACTTCTTACTACAGAATATTTATTGTTAAACATTCTTTGTTTTGAATAGAGGTTTTACGTTATTTTTTATATAACTGGACTAACTGCAATTTATATTTGTTCCGAATCCATTATTGAACATTTGAAAAGATCCGATAGGTATTTTCTGATAGTTTTTTTTTTGTTATTTGTTTGCCTTGGTGTTTATTTTTAGTGGACATTTATTACGCATCTACACTCCTATTTTCTTTCCACTGTAACTAAAGTACGAGTAAATTAAGTTTCTGTTCATTTTTAACGTTTCTTTTTTTTAATATCTAAGTTTTAAATTTATATATGCATATAATTTTAAAATATACCTCGAATTTCAATTACTTGTTACATATAAAGGAACAAAATTGTCTGTCTTTGGTTCATATGTAGAGCGTCTCAGATAAAATATCTAACACTTCATCTGAGTAGACCGTAGTATCGCCATCTAGATAAATATATATTTTTTAATTTCTTAAAAATACATACTACCTCTTTGGTATCTTATTTCATCTTTTGTCTCGTCTCATAAATAAATGCACAAACATTTTTTTTTGTATTTATTATATCGTTAGTCTTTTTGGCTTTAACTTTTACAAATACAATTTGTAATGATCAGTTAAAAGTTTTAAGTTTTTACCCATGTCCGATTACGAAAGCTAAGTTCCAGCAGCGACGAGTTAACTTTCCCACTTGACAGATGACAGATAGTCCGGGTAATTAGTGCGCGTGGCCGGAGACATTTTGTCACAGTCCTTGCCACGACCGCTCACATAAATCTGTACACAACTCGCAGCATTGTCTCCGCGACAGGCTATATTTAATTGATGCTTACGTTGGGTACATACGCCCGTAAATTGAGTTAAATAATTATGGTTTAGTTACAAATATTAATTATTTATAAATATTATTTTATTAATTTACTTAATTGCATATTTTATAGTTTATTTTATAACATATTACTTGATAATATAGTCTTACACGTATAGAAAAAATGTAATCATAAATCAGGATTAATTTATGCTATCTCATCATTTCATATGTCTTAAAAGGTCCTTGCAATGTTAAGAATCTTTACAAATTATTAAATAATTTTTACTATCTAATATAAAATTCAGTATCTCTTAGGTTTGGTTTAAGTTAAATAAAAGTAATTATAGAAAGATTATAAATTCACATTGACAATACACATAGTATACAAGTATAACAATAAACAACGGGCATATGTATATGTAATCGGACACGTTATTCAAATATATGTTATAGATATTTGAATAACGTTTCCGATTTCTTCAATTTTCAAAGTATTTTACATCGCCAGTACAGGCTTTTCCATCTTCGCTCTGTCGGAAGCACTTTATCAAGCACCCGTATGAAATGCCCTCTCTGAAAGGACTGAACAATCGTTCCGTTAAATAAAAGGACTGCCCTATCTCTCTTCCACCTCTGTACACTGTCGCGTGTTACTGCAAAATTTACGACAAAACCATTGACGTTAGAGAGTAATATTGTTATATGTTCGCTATATTATGCCGACTTATCATGCGTCAATTACTGGAATCACAATTATGTTTCACACAGAGATGGGTAAAATATAATTCTGATTAATACAAAACATTAAGTTAAATTAATTCTGGTTTTAAGTCACATATTATGATTTTAATATTGAAATTATTGTAAATAGATCTATAAATAATGAAAGTACTCACCGGCGCTGTGGTTAGCGGTCTGCAATGCGGAAGTTGCTTCCGCAATAGTCTGTCATCAGATGGTCACCTATCCGGCTATATATAATCTTGAGTTCGTTTGTGCATCGGAAGGCACATTTTTTTTATGGGATAGGGGGATAGGGGATAGGGGGCAGACGAGCACACGGATCACCTGATGGTAAGTGATTACCGTTAGCCCATGGACACCTGCAACACCAGAGGGGCTACAAACGCGCTGTCGGCCTTTGAGGGATGAATATGATCATAGGGAGGGAAGGGTTGAGGGGGAGAGGGAAGGGAATAGGGAGGGGTTGGGCCTCCGGTACCCTCACTCACACGACGAAACACGACGCAAGCGTTGCTTCACGTCGGTTTTCTGTGAGGCCGTGGTATCACTCCGGTCGAGCTGGCCCATTCATGCTGAAGCGTGGCTCTCCCACTTTTTGTTCAAGCCGTTTGCTTCGGATTTTGACGGTTAACACCTACTAAACTGCATTGAGACTGCCTGACGATTCATAGCCCATTTTCCTTACAGTCATTTATTCAGTTTCTGTCAGTTTCAGTCATTTATTTATTCAGTTATTTACGGCATTGGTACCTTTTATGTATCTCATTACTATTAAGTCTTCAATATTTCGTTTATTATGTGACTATTGGTGCCTGCAACAGCTCTAACGTTAATGACTATGAAAGTAAAATTACGATTATAATATGTAATTTTTAACCCTGGGCAAATTTTATGTAATTGTAATCTTCAATCTAGATAATTTTTTGAATATGGTTCGCGTATCAATAAGGATAGACTTTTAATTTTATACCTACGAAATTTTACGGGAACATTTCAACGGACAGATGATATTTGGTCACGTAAATGTTTGCAAATTCGATTGCGTTATTGAGCTTTATACTATTTTAAATACATTGTACATACAAAAAATACGAATAAGTTTAGAAGATCATTATAATCGTTACGACTTGTTTTCCTTTTATTCAAATATACATTAGAGTTAAACCAATAATATAGTTAGAATTCTGTATCAATTCTATCTACCATAATTGACGTACATGATTTTAAGCAATAAAATACGTATAGAGCTTTACATCAAATATTGGCTGGTACTATAACAAGGCTAGCTATAGCATTCTATAATTTGATGATCCATATAGCAATGACTGGCAATTTTACGATTTCGAAATATCATGTAATTGGAAACATACCTTTTGTTTTATATTATAGTATTAAACTTTTCAAAACTCATCTCAATTAAACTAACACATAAACAGCTGGTTGCACAAACGTCCATTATAATTGTTGTTACTTTAGAGCGACATTACCGATACAAATTTGACATTGATCAGAGCTTAAAGGAGTCATTAAAAAGCATCCATTACGCTTGTGCGACCGTAAGCCAAGGCTACGCGCACACTGGTAATTTTTTGTCATCACGGCTTGTTGTAACTTTCACCGTACTCCTTGCTGTTTTTAATTGTAACGTGTTAAAGTGGGCGTGTCACTACAAAAATTCTCAGACACGGTAACAGGAGACAAAAAGCCATCAGTGCGTATTAAACCTAAGACCTTATTTCCAATTTTTTTTTTTTAATTTAGATTTTAACTTTTTACAACTTCACAGACTCCATGATTAAACATATTAGATTAACAAAATTATTTAATATACTTAACGATATTTTTTTAAGTTATCTTTCCAATTCAAATTCATATTAAATTCCCAAGAATATTATATCATGCCATCTTTTATGTTCCATTTCCATATATTAAGATCGAAAGATGAGAAAATTTTATATGGGGCCACCAGACCGAGCATTCTTGGAAGCTAATTTTAAAATTCTTCACTCTCAAAAAAGGAACCTACTCGATAAGGCTTTTAGCGGCAACCGACATTATTATGGAATATAAAAACTTTTTGGTTTATTTACCTTTTAGTACTCCCAATAGACTGTGTTTGAGCAAATATCGAAGATGAAAAGAATTGTATATGAAGATTCTTAGTTACTAAATGTAATATCTTATTTCAAAGCTTTAAACTACGAAATAAACTTACAAACTATTACTATGTGTTATATTAACAATACGAACTACATAGTCTCAAACCGCAACTGGATGCTAACGTAATATTACTACTATTATTTGCTATAATCAGGAAGAGACTATGTAGTGAAGTTAGACTAATTAGCACGTCAATTTATACAAAACTGTAAAACTGTCCTATTTTAACCATTAAGAGTAGAGATGAAAACTGCGGAAATTTAGCATATTGTAGTAACCCGACGTTCAGCCGTTTGTACATTGAACTAGGTTATGCTATTCAATCTCAACGTATTGAAGCCATTCAATGCTCATTCACCCGATATTTATGTCACCAGGTATATCGCACTATGACCAAAGATTATTGTTATTCAACATTCGCTTTCTACAACAGCGCCGAACTATCCTTGATCCATCGTTTCTGCATAGGCTTCTCAATGGCTCACTAAATCGTGGTCACTTCGAAGAAAGTGCCTCACTAAATGTTCCCTCTCATCTCCCTCGCCAGTCTATAATTAGAACCTTTGCTTTACCTACAATCAGGACAAATATGGGTCGCAATACTCCCCTTTTTTGTTGCTGTGAGAAGTATAACTCTCTTAATTTGAATAATACTAGAGATCGATATTTCCCACGACTCGTTACCTAATGCAGCAATGTTCTCCAATTATTAAGTTCTCAGAATGTGGATTAAGATGTACAAATATTAAAAACTTTTGTATTTATAACTCTTCATTAATTAATGTTGTAAACGCATTATTGTTCCTATTGTAAATGTATTCCGGCAATGGGTATATATATAAAAATATTTAAATTTAACAAATAATCATTTCCAATGTATCACATATATACCGCTGGTGTACCTTTTCCAAATAAATAAATAGGTTACTCGGTTTCAAATAATTACATTTCAGTAATAAGGATTTTATTGGAGAATTACGTATAAAGTTCCTTTTTTGAGGCAATTTGACTAAAATCTTCAGCTTTATTAAATACTAAATTTCCATCAGCGGCTTCGCCCACTTGATTCCTTGGAAAACAGTTTAGAGGTATAAATATTAGTAAGATTATTTATTCCTGTGTAAGCAGTTAAATAATTATATAATTGATCATATCGTGACACAATGACAATGGTTACCATGGTAACGTGGATTATTCCCATTTTCTTCTCTTTAATTGCTGCTTTTATTTTTGTTGCCTATGTCCACCGCATATGACGTAATTTCCTATGGATGATAGAATTTATAAATCGATCTAGTACGAGTAGTTCCGGAGCCTATTCGATGTAAAACAATGAAATTTTTCCTCTTTATAATTCTAGTATAGAATACCTTTATGTAAAATTTAAGTACAAATCTTTTTTCACGCATAATAGGATACACTCTGAAACGTATTTGTTTCAATCGCGCTTATTCCGCGATAAATTTCTTAAGAGCACTGGAGTGTGAGAAATAAAAGTGCTATCTCGCTGCAATACGTTTTCCTACACATATAGGTAGTTCAACGATAGTGGTAGCACTTATCTTAGCTTTAAGCAAACACACCAAGCGCAGCAAAGGAATTACGAGAACATATCTGTACTATAAATGTCACATTTTTTCTTAAAGTCATAAGCAGTGGTCGGAATTAGGTAGAGTTATTCATGTACTTACACTGATTTCATACAGCGAAAGAATAAAGTGGATATGCCTCAAATCCCGAGATTAATTTTAAAGAGCAGAAAAAATCCCGAGATTTTTTAAATAAAAAGTTATTTACTTTTACACAATTAAAACTACTACACGCACGACGTTGCCGAACTTACATCAATGAAAGAAAGAAATAAAGAAAGAAGAAATAAAGAAATCCCGGGATGGTCCACATTAATATCAACATTTCGATGCAAGTACATAAATAACTCTACCGAATTCCGACCTCTGGTCATAAGTAAGCTTAACTCCCATACAGTTAAATAATCGCACTATTTTATCCAAACGGTTAACGACCCAGTCTTAATTTTCTTTTAGACTTTAACTATCCGTGTAGGTAATCGGTATAAATCAAGTTGAATGGACGCTAATGGTTTTCGGAAATTTAAAGTCTTATTTCAGATGGTGCTTAAGACTGCTGTCACGTTGGAATTTAAATAGTACTCATTCTGACTGATGTATCGATTTGTTATTATAATATTTTTTACGGTATGTTTTCATCGATAAATATGCAGCTCCTTTTATTATAAATTTAACTGATTATTGGAACATTTTCCGAAAACAAGAATACATAGGTGCGACGTACTAAAAACACACACACACACACACACACGCATACACACACACACACACACACACACACACACACACACACACACACACACACACAAACACACACACACACACACACACACACACACACACACACACACACACACACATACACACAATAGTGACACGCTTATTTCATTTGTAGATGTAACTTAATTTTGTATTTTCTTTTTTTTATTTTTTATTAATGAATTGTTAGTTCACTGATCAACTCAACAATAACAACAAAGTTTATAATTTAAGGAAGGAACTGGTGTCTGTGACACAAGTTTCTTAAATTCAGAAACCAGTGTTTCATTAATATGTTATCTGGTAATGCCGCAATAAAGATTTTCATTTTCATTTATAATGTCTTTATTTTATTTAATGCAAACCTAAAATCAATATCTTCAAAAGGATCAATATCACTGCAAAATCTATCACGCTCGCGTTACATTTGCTTCTTGTGAACTGTGACGTCAACATTCAGAAGTGACGCAGAACGTAAATTTACTACTGGTGTTCGTTGCAGTCACTGCGCCACAGATTATCTGTCACTGCGAGCGGGCAGCTCGCCCTCGGCGCCGCTGCTGGCGTCACTTTGCTCCGAGAGGACAGCCACGTTGGAGCAACCCGGCCCAAACTTGTTATTGGAATTTAAGTAAGAATTGTTAGAATATATATCGGATATAGAAATTTGGAAGACTTACAATGATTTACATTTGAAATTATGGTTTATAACAGGGATGATGCTGGGTGAAAAAAAAACAATTTAGTCCGTCAGTCAGATAATACGAAAATATGAGATACGTATTTTTTTGCTTTACTTTAAACTAGAAAAAGCTTAATTAACAAGTATTAGAGTTGAGGAGTGGTTTTTAATTTACTTTAACTAAATAAAACTTAGTTAACAAGTATTAATGTCGAGGAGTGGGGATCGTTATGTCACAATGTGTTAGAAAATGTTAAATTTTGAACTATTTCCAGCTTAAAATATTTGTAGCTCATACATAATAAATATTCTTCAAACAAAGCAAAAATCATGTTAGAGTTTACAGTTAAGAATAAGTATGATCTCGAAGTTTTTTTTAAATAAAAATCTTTAATAATTATTTTATTATCCAGTTCAGGTCCGTTAGTACCACCGTATGACTACAACGGCTTTATAGCAAAACTGGAGTTTATCGATAGAGATGACAGCAGCCTACCACCACCTACTGTGGTGCCTGCATCACCTCCACTTGCTGCTCTTACGCATTTGGTGCAAAATGGTAAGTGGAATCCCGCAAATTCAAAAATTACGTTAAAATCATTCATTAATTTTAAATAATGCATCGTGTAAAATTTTAAGCTTTTAAGACGACCATTTTACATCCAAAATTAGCTAAATCGATCCAGCCGTTCTTGAGCTTTAGCGAGACAAGTGAGACATCATGATTCATCAATCGATTTACATACCGTGTCAAATAAATAATAAATAAATAGTCAAATAAACTCATTGATAAATAATTAATAATTTACAATACCTATGCATACTAAGAAAACGGACTAGAGTAAGCAATCTAGAGCAGATCTATTAGCAGCAATTGTTTAAAATTTTATTCGTGTTAAATCACTAATCAGATCAAAGTTTTGGTCGAGATACTTTAAGTAAAATTACACAAATAAATCTAATCCATTCCCTGTTTAAATTAGTAGAATAACAATACTGTAGACTAGTAGTAGGTAGCGATCAAATTACATTCCTTTAAAACAATTTCTAGCAGAAAAGAATAGTTACTTTGCGAGACATTATTATAGGACATTGAAACGCTCGAGCGTGAGAAGTGGTATTACTTCAAGTCTCATCTTCTCAGACCGGGTACAATTTCTGTTTCCATTTCGCTTGAGAACATCGTCCACTGCACAATAATAAGGTAGAATGTAATACGTTTGTCTTTGTTCAGTGGATAGGGTGGCAGCAATGGAAAGTAATGTGGTGTCGAACGAGGTTACCGCTAACAATGGCGGGCGAGTTGGATGTGGTGCTACTGTAAGAGGATATGGCCCTGGCGGATCGCGTTCAGGCCACTTTGACACTAGAGCGAGTGGCTGGCGATCGCAGTGTGCGATACACTTGCTTGGGGCATCGACGGATGTTGTTCAAGTGTCGCTCTTCAATTATAATTTAAGGCAAGTTTTTTGGAACTTCAGTTTATTAATTCGGAAAACAAAATTATAAAAAAAAATATTTGGTTTGCCTATTACTTACAATGCTATAGATCTTCTATTAGTTTTTGCTTATGTGCATTTTAAAACAAGTATAAAAGAATCTTTTCCCACGACGCTGCGATTAGCCTTTTTGTTCCGTAAAATCGCTGGCAGCCAAGCCGCAAACTCGGAGTAATATGAGGAACGTCCATTGCAGTTCCACTGCTAATTGTTTTTTACTTTTCTCAATTTTCTGGTACAGTGCCAACGTTTTATCGACAGAAATTTAGAGAGAAAACTATTTTAAAGGGATGTTTTTAATTAAATAGGTTACAAAGTTGCCGATCTCATATTGAGGTCTTAGAAGGACTTCACGATTTTGGAGGAAAAGATAGAGGAGATCGGTCTGAGAGAGGCGACCGAGCTCTATTAAGAGTGTGTGGGCCTTCAGTGAGGGAGGCTAGAGATCCCTCTGGAAGATTCCTACTTCGTCAAACAGTGACGTCCAAAGGTGCTAATCTAACCATTTTGGTACGGCGTGCAGCCACACAAAGTGTGGACGAAGAAGAGTTTGTTGATGGTGCATTCGCTTTTCATGATGGTGAGTTAAAGTTGCATCATAATTAACCATTTCAAAGTTTTTCTCATCTTATTTATTATGGGTGACATAGGACTTATATGATTCGTTTATGACACTCCACTCTTTTGTCTTTCGATCATCTGTTTGGATGTTGCTAAGAATATATTACCCTTATTAATCATTCATAGAGTTAGAATCCAATTTTACCCAAGATTTCGGCATCGACAACTATCAAGTTTCAAAAATAAATTGCAATCTTTGAATATCAGCAGATTACGCTTTAACGAGTCTTTCTTATTTAGTTTGGCAATTTTTGTTAGATATATTTCAAAGATAAATCCAGCTAGTTTATTTTTACAGAATTGCATGAAGGTACGGCATCTCCTGACGCTACTTGTGCAGCTACGCATTATGGGCTAGCATCACCGAAGCACGGGGGAGTATCTGCGCCATCCCATCATCATATCTTTTGGAATATTGAAGAAAGACTACAGTGCTCGCATCGCTTTATTCCTGCTGCAAATCAGAGTGTTACTATTGAGGTTTGTAAAATGTAATTAAAAGTTTCTTATCATAATAATTCCTAAAATTTAATTTTATCCGACTCCATTGTTCTTTATAATTTATTAATATATAATCATGCTTTGATCTTAATGGAGGTCGAACAGAACATCTTTTATTGTAATTTTCTACACCGAAACTTGACCGAAACTATTTAGTTCGTGGCTAAACCATAGATTTTTTTGATTAATGTTTAGTTTAGTTACTACCTCAAACAGTTACAAGTTTCCATTCTCTCCTCTTCATAAAGAACAATGTAGAAACACTCATGCCGTATTCTTTGTTTTTCTTTTTATTATTTTTAGGATTGAATTACATTGTTTATGAATTAAAGCACAGCCAGGTTGTAACAAATATGTAGTTGTATTGTCCAATCGTCCAATTTCACATATGTTGTGATAGTATGTTTTATACGAAATATGCATACAACAATAGGATATATGTATATGTTAAACCACATATGATATTAATCACTAAATACTACCTATGTATGCGTGTTACATATTTATTGGTAAAAACATTTATGTGAGATATTTTTAAATAGATACAAAGATTAGACCGAATGTGGAGTGCCGAGCCTACCGGCACTATTGGAGCGGCTGGTTGCAGAACAGCCTGTGGCGATGCCGGTTGTGAATGCCGTGCTAACAGTCCACTGCATTACCATGATCACATTGCGTTAGTCGCAGGCGATGGCACGCACCTATCCTGTCTTTGTGGTGATTTTCAGGTGAGTCAGATTTAACGATGTTGTTACTTACCAAAATCTTTGAAAGAACGACTTAATAGAAATATGTCGCAGCCAAGTGGTATAATCGGCCGAACAATCGGGCGACTAGCCCTTTAATTGAATGACGGGATTCAATTTCATTAAAGGGCTAGCTGTCTAATTGGTCTTCTGATTACACCACTTGGCTGCGACAAACACATTTGTCCGAATGTTATGCAGTATTTGATCGATAGTATAGATACTTTTGAAAGTGCACAGCGAATTTTTCGTTTTCAATACTGCGGCTATAATAAGACTTTCATTAAAGGAACATCTTTGTTTAATTTGTATTCTACAAATGAAATTGGATACAATTGAAACAGAGTTGTTCATTGTTGACTATTTGAATACTAACAAAACTACACAAAGTTCTTTGGAAGTGGGTAGCAAATAAATTAAGGGTGTTGGACCTTGTGCCAACATAGCCGTGGGAAGAGCAACCCTTCCGTAGAGCTGTAGCCTATGCTCTGCCCTGTACGATCCGCATAATTAACTAAAAGGGTTACTATTAACTATGTAACAGCAATAAAGTGAGGAGAGTCCATCTAAATGTAGGGACTTCTAAAAGCAAATATGACCCCAAATAATTTAAAGGCATCCCCATCCTCTCACTCGAAGAAATTTAATTTGTTTGTATCTCTTTGAATAATCATCCAGTTAAATCTTCTAGCAGATGTTTTATTTACGCAATAAATTCAATTTGTTCAGTTAACAGTTTACTCTCCGTTGTCAATTTTGTACGGAGCAACTTCCAGAAGTTTATGTTTAATCGAAAGCCAATTAGATAAAGCGATTGGCAATTTCGTAAATATGAAACTCGGTTTTGAACGTATTACGAATATTATCTTGTGTTACTTACATTACCAAATAATTTATGTAAAATCGTGCGCCTTGACTGAGAAAGGAAAAACTTTTCCATTTTCGTGATTGCACCCAAAACGAGCCACGCGGGGCTTTAGCCACAAAAACTTGAATATATGAAGGTGGATACCTACACAACTTTATTATCTTGCTACGGATAGGCACGTTGTTTAATAATTGATAATGTTCAACCCTTTCATGAATAGCACTAGTGAATGTTGTGATGCTAACGCTGGACGCTAAAATGAACTTTAGACAATATTGGGTGAGGTTGTCGGTCGTGACCATCGGCGCTCATAAAACACGGCTAACTGGCGTCGTGTCATCCGTCCGCCCCTGTTATTAGCCTGAGGGCGACAGCCTGGAGACTCGCCCCTGAAAATTCAATTACTTAGTAGCTGCCTATGTATGCGTGTTGCGTAGGCAGCTGCAGGTCAAATTTGTCAATACGCCACACACGTGACATGGCATGTCCAAAGTTAGTCACCATCTACTAAATTATTATTTGTATGTAGGTATTTGTTGGGACGAGTGAAATATGATTAAAAACGGAACCTCGCTAAAAAGAAACGGGGACTCCTTGAAAAATACTTCGTCGGGAATCCGTCAAGAAATTCTAAATGGATTTATTTTTTTCATTAAGTATCCTAACAGTCTAATTATGAAGTTGGATTTATGCTGTCTCTTGAATTTTTAAGCTCTTTATAACAATTAGGAGATAAAAACTTTTTCAACGACATTATTAGGATGGAAAACTGTAAATACCGATTTTTTATATTTCGAATATAACTTATCTAATGTAATGCAATCAATAAATTGAACTTTTTATTTTATCACATGTGTATATTTTGTAATCAATGCACAAAATTAAACATCGTGTTCCTTACGCTAAATCATATTCATATTTATTTTCGCTTATTTTTAACCTGCTATCCGATGTTTTCCGCTGGTAAAAAAGAAAAAAATATGTATGTTAACACGGTGCTACTTATTATCCACGGTACTTGGAGATCAATGACCGATTTTGATCAATATACCCTACCATGCAGTCTGTTCTATACTATTAAATATAGATTTAAATAAAAAACAAATAAAAACTACATTACAAATTTGAATTCTTACTGGAATTTAAATACGAATGGAATTTTAGAAAAGAAAATGTCTTTGTGAATTGTTCTATTAAAGATAATAATGATAGAAAAAAGTTTGAGCACTGATAATAAAACTCTTGTGTAAGCGATGTAAATATGTAGGTGTATAGAGTCCATCCAATGAGTTGCTTTATAACAAAATTATTGTACAATCACAAAAGATAATTACATTAAGCGATAGATGTAACATTTATTTACACCATTGTAAGAGTAATATATTCGATATGGTGTTCAAAGGGTGCCTTGCGATTTTGTAAAAATCCAAAACCGAATTCGAATTTTCTCATCTCATTCACTCCAAAAACCGGCATCCGCTTAATCTTGAGTTGGTAATACCGTTTCGTGACAAAGTGAAGTGAGTTTCGAAATGACATATAACTAGAATATCTGAGGCAATAAATATAATCAAAAAAAATTGTTTTGTAGGTATATTTATACAAGAAATGGGATCAATATAATTTCTTCACTAAATGATATGAATTTGGTCACATGAGTGAATTGGGGTTCGGAATTTCACACAATCGCTCTGCTGCTATTTCTAAAATCCCGCATATGCTAACAATTTGTATAATATGATACTTGCCGACTGCAATATACACATACCCATAAATGTTGTATTTTAATCAACTCTATTATAATACAACGGTGGCACTTTCAATAAATTATATATATTAGATTGACGGCTTTACCTGTATTGTCTCAAATGTATAATAAAGTGCTAGAAAAATTCGTTAGTCCTGTTAGGCCCTGGGTAGCTCAGTAATTAGAGTTTAAAAAATCCATTTTGTCCCTGGCACTCTGAGTCGGAACTTAAACCCATGACTTTTCACAATGAGCTACTCATGACGTAACAGGACTGACAAATTTTTCAAGAAGCTTACATGTTGGAGATACTGATTTATTAACATCATCATCAGCCCTTTTGGATGGGTAAGGAGGAGGGACACCCTCCGCTTGTCTAATGCGGATTGGAGGGTCTTAACATCTGCAAATACAGCTGGGTCCAACGGTTTGACGTACCTTCCGAAACACCAAGTAGCTCGAGATAGTAATTTTTTGGTCACCCAATTCGTGACTGACTCATACGAAAGTTGCATAACAACAACGATCGCGGGCCGCGGCGTTTATCTTCTACGCCACAGAGTTAATCACTAATACTAACTTATTACAAAGTACTAATTTATATTTATATTGTCTGGTATAACTTGATTATAAAATAAATAGCAAATTGAGTCGTGACACGTACCTGTGAATAAACTCCGACAGTTCTTCGCTAATATCTTTAAGACAATGATAATCGAGGAACTGTCCCAGTCTATTTTAAAATCAATATGATGTAATATAATTCCCTAATTGGGATTTATATCTAGCATATACCGAACAATTTTGGATAAACCTTTGATAATTATATTAACTTTAATACCCTTACCAATACAAAACTTATAACCGTTAATTAGTTAGACATAGCTCTGTTTACGTCATTCTAACGTGACTTTCAGTTCACGGAAAAAAGACACAATAATAATACAAAGCTTATTACATTGTTTATTGGTAGGGCCTTCATTGTTTAAGCTTTAGCGGGAAATAGTTATTATGGGATTGACTGGAATGAAACAGTTATATTGGGATTGTCCGATATTTTGGGGCTACTATTGCAAGCGCCACAATCTTAGATTTACTGAAATACTTATTAGGGATTTAATATAAATAAGTCAATTCCGTATTTATATAACATATTATGACCATGAATGTTTAAAACAACATATTCAACATGAAATTCTAAGATCTATTGAAATGATTAAAGTTAAATTAAATTTATTTTTAATGACGTTTTCTATTGTAAGATTAAATTTGATAGTAATTTACTGCTCTCAGATTAGTTTGATAAATAAATATCAACGTAGCATTGTTAATGTTTAAATTCAAGATGTGCTAATAATAAATCATTTATTAGGCGGCGTGGTTACCTGTGGTGGTCCGTAGTTGGACCAGCGTACGTCTGGAATATTCCGTCGCCCACTACACGTACGCCAGTCGTGGATTCGATTACGCGGCCGCGTACAGTTTTAATGACGACGCCATGTGCGGCCAGCGTACATACACCACACACTCAGGTGAGACCTCTTCTCAATAAAGTACTTTCTAGTCAAATTCATGAATTTGCAGATAAACTAAAATTTACGTTGAAAGAAATACAAATATTTTGCTTGTGATTCATAAAATCATATGATTATCTTATGGTGTTAAGTTAAATTCCTGAATGGCGATTTTCTTACGTTATTTTGTGTCAAGATTGTTAGATGGTACGTCTCTTGTTTCATCGTCATATATTTCAATCTTTACGTATCCGTCGTGAATATGGCAGACAGTATTTTCATGGGTATTAAATAAGTTTAAATTTTGACTTCATTTAAAATTAAACATTTTTGTTGTGGCTTACAAAAGTTAAAATAAATACACACAAGTCCTCTTTCAATCAGAGTTTATTATCTTATTCCCAGGGCGCTCACCTGTACATAATTTTATCGCCACTGCGACACCAAAACGTCCCGTATAATTCGATGGTTATGCCCTCGAACTGGGGCAGATTATCCGCTGTATAGCTACTACCTATAGACCATCGAGCGCATAAAGCGAAAAACAAACAGTTCAATTTGACATTCGGCTCGCGTCTCGGGCGTTTGGTAAAACGCGCCGGATATTGTTCACGACGCGACGCGTCCGAGAAAATTACGTGGCCCGACCCAGTTTCACGCTGCCCTAGGGTAACAGTGGATAAAGAAAAAAAAAACCTTGAACAAGATCGTAAAGTTCCAATTACAGCATTGCTATTGCGGCGACTCGTGACTGTCTTTTCATTCCGTTTGTCGCTCACGTAGATGTATCTGACATGTTTAAATTTTATCGTATCTTTAAAATATAAGTTTTCGCATTTTATCGGTTTAGGTGAAATATCTTCCCGGAACGTGTCCGTGACGGGAAGTCTCAACGAGTTCTTCTATCAGCAATGTACTTGGGTTCTCGACTCGAATGTCGAAAGGCAGCTCTTCATAGATATCTCCTCGGAACAGGTAAATGATTTACAGTATTCAATTATATTCCATCTCAATTTAATTTTAGATCCGTACGCACCTCCGGCCATTATTAAGTGGTCAAAATTGAATTTTCAAAGGTAGACAATTCTAATTGATTAGATTGATCAATTACTGATTTCGGTAAAATATAAAGCCTTTCTCGGTTGACTCTTACTCAAATATTTTTTTTAATTAACTAATAATATTTATTGGAATTAGGATAAATCATGCGGTTCGTGGAACATCACTCTCCACGAATGGTCTGGAAGCGGTGCCCATAGTGATGGGGGCTTGGCTGCGGCCGCTGGCGAGCTATTATATACCTTTTGCGCACGACATAAAAACCATACTTACACACTGCCGTGGCGACTCAACACCGTAGTAATCAGGTTCGTATGTATCTTGTTCGAAAACTCGATAGTATGATTGGTGATTTATAATCTTTAGGTAAGAAGAGCTATAATCCTTTAACAATATTTCCTTTTCAGACAGAATCATTAAAATAATGAATAAAATATTGTTGTAACAAGAGATCGTCGTTTCTTATGAAATACAAATAATAATATTGTTATGTCTAGGAATTCGTAAGACCTTCTTCAGTAGTATTATATTTTCATATATCCTCTACGAATATTCTATCTTAGAGCAATAAATTGATTTAGCAAGCCTGCCTTTGCTATTACACCATATTAATAATATCATAACATTCCTAATCTGCCGACTAAAACATAAACTACATTTCCCTTTAGTAGCTAAGTTAATATACAATTTATGTGCTCATTATGAATTCTCCTTGTTCTTATGACGAGCTTTAATATCTCGAGTTGGTTGTGTAATGAATACGAGATGAACAATAATAGTTTCCACAATTGCTCAGCTGGCAAGTTTAAATTGCCTGTTGACATATCATGAAGCACATTGACTTTAGGTTCTTCTCTTTTCTTGGGTAGTGAATGAATGCGATGGAGAATGCAATTTTTATGTTTAATATTTTAGTTTTAATTGTGGAAAATCAATGAGAATATTTCTATTAGAGTGTATAAAAATAATAATATATTTAGACGAAAATCAGAATCAGTAACAATTACTTTATTATTCTTAAGGTTCCAACAAATTTTCCTTTTGATGATAACAGTTGTTATTAACAACTGTAATATCTTTAGAATGTGTTTCAACCACTATAAAAAATAAAATCCATAATCTACTGATGAAATCTGAACAAAAAAAATAAGGTTAGTCCCCTAATTTTAACACATAACGTGATCTGAATTTCTAAGAAATTTTACCCCTATCAAACGATTGCAACTTTCCTAAACCCATTACGTATTTTCATTTTGCCCCATTTAATCATATTACAAACTAACCGAGCGCCTACCTGTATATTTCATTACATATAGCAGACGTGAGCGAAAAGCATTAAAAAGACCCAAAGAAATTTCTACGTGAGCCTTTTAACACGCGCGTAACAATTTTGAAAAGAAAATGAAACACTTCCCAGATCTCCCATTTGATAAATTATTTATGAGACTTAGGCTTAATGTTAACTTGGCCAAAACGTAAAAGCGCATGCTTCCTTCATAGGTTTAAGTAGGCACCGAGTAATTTACAGAGATCTTTTCTGTTTGTGAATATTAGAGGAATCCGAAAGAGGTTACGTACTGTTTATTAGATGAGGGTTTCGTTTGTAGACCCTGCATAAAGGTGTCTAAAAGCATATTTTAAAGAAAAGAAATGATTACTCAAAGATCCCTATTTTCTGGTAATTTATAACAGTATTCAAACGAATGTACAAGGTAAGCTATATTATTGTTAATAAAATTGTTATTCTGTTCTGAACATTGATTAAAGTTTCCTAGAAGACATATTTCCGAGAATCACGTTTCCTAGACTTACATTAATTTATCAAAAAACATTTCTGAAATATTTTTTCCTGTGAAATCTAAACAATGTCTGGTATTTTATAAGGCCCTTTTTTATGTTTATTTACCCAAACTGGCGAAACTTTGTACGTTTTTTTTTTAAACTAAAGGGGTAGCATTAGAACTAGTGATCAATTTGTTTGATAAATCCAGTAGGTAATCTGGTACATCTACATTTTTTTTTATTTATAAGGTCTACTAACAGTTTAATGCAAAATTTTATATACTTACAGATCACAATTACATCTAAGTTTAAGTAATTCGATTAAGTTTAATTAATTTGAATATTTCTTATTTTACTAGGCGAATCCTAAAAAAATCTGATTACAATAGCGGTTGAGGATTCGGATCGTCCCCAAGATTATCTTTAGTCTGTCACCCATTGCTTTCACTACGTTAAATTATTTAATCTGTGACTTTGCGATCTAATATTTTTTCTAGGTTGGTAGCGCTGTCTCGACAGCAACCTCTTTATAGGATACGATGGAGGTCACAAGTGGTTCGTGCTAATAACCGTCTGGGTCCACCGACTCCTGTCCCGGCAGCTTCAGCGGGCACCAGTAGTCCTACCCACTATCTTGGTCTACTTTATTCACTTCTGCTATGGTCTGCACTCAATAATGTGTGAAAACGGTAAGTAGGTAATAAGTTCATGTCACTTTACGTTTTGACATTGAATTCTTATAGATTTTTTTTTTTATTAAGAATATCGAGAAAAACTCTACATGTATTTTATTTAAGTACATTCGAATATAATTTTCAGCTAGTTTTATACAGAAAAAATGATATTAAAAAAAATGTTATTTAAACTAAAAAAACAACGCCACGCATGTAAAGGCACAAAAAAGGGTCACGACATAATTTTATAGATAAAATACAAAGTTATCTCTAAAACTTAAAAAAAATATTTTTACTTATATATAAACTTTGGCTTTTTATTGTTACTTTGTGGCCGAGGGATTTACGGCTTACTAATAATTTTCGAGTAATTATTTAATTCGTTATAAATGCGCAATATGCCATCTTCTATTTTTATATTTTTCATTAATAGGAGCGTTCATTTCGTTTCGATTTCTTTTTTGTATTGACGCTTAGTCTTAAATCCTTCATCGCTCTTATATGACAGATTGGATGACATTCTCTAAATTAGCAATTACACAATTTTAGATTATAACTAATATTATGTTAATCCAATGACTAAAATAACACGACTAAGTAAAACTATTTGAATTGTTATTTTAAAATCATTATAGTTCATTTACATTTTTATTGTATCTTTTTTGATACAGATATTGGGGATCATCGAAAAGAAGTCTTCTTCGGTACGTCTCTTATGAAGCAAAAGTGTTTTTACATTATACAAAAAGTTAAATAATATAGAAACTCTCTCTAAGAAAAATCTCGATAACAATACACTTTTTATACAACGAGTGTTACCAACCACAGTGCACATAATATTCTATAAGAAGCTCTAAAAGATGTAAATTAAGTCGTCTATGTGTAAAATGAAACTATCGAATTAAAAAAAATGTTTAATTGTAAGCTCAAATACTGTGCCGTAGATATTAGGTTATAATGCAAAAGCACTGACTTAATATGCTTAGTCTGTAAATGTACTTCAGGAAGGACGCTTTAATAGCTTGAAAATTGATTTTTGTAATTAAGTTAAATGTCACTTTTATTTATTATTTAATTTATCATTGGAAATTGGGAACTTTTGAAAACATAAAATTTCTTTAGATAATTAAAATAGAACATAAAAAGGTTTAAACAATATGCTGCTTTTTTTCTTCGATAACTGCCCATATGAAAGTATCAAAACTTTTAAAAATCATCAGTTAATTTAATAATTGAAAGGAATGCACTTTAGTTTTAAAGAAACCCAGAGACGTTGAATAAAGTCGCAAAAATATATAAACTAAACAGTAATTAATTATTCAGAGGCGTTGCAGAAAAAAACAACACTACAGGTAAATTTTAATAGCAAAACCTTTTTTTTAGAAAGTTTTTTTAAGTGAATTCGTTAAGATCGTTGTCGGCACAAGTGATGGACAAATAATTTTTCTTCCTTTCGATTTAAGTGAATTAAACTTATTAAAATATCCTAGTACTTTCAAAATTAGCTTTTTATAGTTTTCAAAAACATACATCGCCATCGAACTTATAATCTCCTTCTTTTCGATTGTGAAGTCAGTTAAAACGATTGTTACATAATTGATGCTTAAGAGATTTTTTGAACCGATATTGACTATTGATTTAGAAAAGTCTTATAACAGCCATTTTTTTAGAAAAGCAAAGGCGGATTAATATCCGAATATAAGTCCAGCATAAATTATATTCTAATCCCATCCAAATCAATATTTCAGTACTTTAAGAGACAACATTAAACAACATTTATATAAAAAGATTAGTATAATAACAACAAAATTTTCATAATTATGATTATGATATAAGTGAAAATGTTAAAGTCAATTAATAATAGGCACTAAACTATAAATATACTTTTAACAATAACTCTTACGCGTCTTCTATGATTTATTATTGACTAAAATAATTTATTGAAAAAAGTAATTTCATTTTCTAATTTTAATGATTGAGCACTCTAACTCAAAACGCGTAAAACACAAGCATAAAGAATATACACTTTTAAACATTCAAATTGCGTTGCAATAAATTGTAAAGAACGGGTATTAACGCAATTATAACCAATAATTAGGCATTACGCTTAGGCTTTAGACTTTCGACTGTCAGTCAGCCAGTTGGGGGCTGAGTATATATTATTCTCCAGCACAGGGTACACCGTAGGAGTTTTGGTGGGTATATTACCTGTGACCGAGGTGAGTTCCTCCCCCGCATGTTCTCGCCAGGCGACAGGGACTGTGCTTAAAGTATTTCCCCCACATATTATAAAAACAGCTAGCCCATGACGTAGTCTATTAATTTTAATACCCTTTCTCTACAAAGTATAAAACATTGGAATAGTTCTCTAGCTAAGTTTTTTATATAAATTATAATGACCTATTAACTCAACTCTAATTTAGTTAGTTATAATTATGTTAACATTCGGTGACTTGGATAAATGGGTTACTTACCTATAAGTTATATTAAATTCTCCGTCGGTTAAAAACAGATACTCCTAATTAATTATTCATGTTGTTCAAACTTCAGAATGGGTAAAACCGCACGAAAATCCAATCTAGCAAAGTTAGAAATCCATCGAAATTAAAATTTGAGTCGAAATTAATATTTTACCCTAAGTAGAAAAAGAGAACTTTTGTCTTTAACTTTGTTGCAACGTAGCGAATTTTATATAGTTAAATCGTAATGAATTTCATTTATTTTGCTTTTCAACATTGGCTACATACCTTGCTACGTTATAAAATTAAATTAGATACAGACAGTTATGTAAAATAATGCAAAACATGATTAAGATACAACTATTGGAATTGGTGTGTCCACACTAAGTTACTCGACCTGTCTGTTCGTTTGTTAAATTTTTATGCGTAAGCCGCTGAACATATTATTCGAATTTATGGTATTGGTCGGACCTTTGAGAAGAATATGGCTACCTTTTACTACGGAAATAAATGCGAGGGAAGTAAAATTTGTATAGGGTAACCATTATTTCTCAGGGGTATGATAAATTATTATTTATCCTTATTCGGTGAGATCTTCTTGAAAGAAATAGGCTATTCGAAACAATTATTCCACACAAGTTTTCGAGCGCAAGCTACAGTTTGTTATATAAATCTTACTATGTGCTATATCGAAATGCAAAATATCAGTCAGACTTTGTATTTTGTTGAATTAAACTCACTCAAGGGTAATAATCTTTTTAAACAATATAAATAAATCGTAGAAACTGATTCGTTTTTTTTTTGTGGCACCTATATATGGTTTCGTATATGTATGTATTTTTTCTTCCAGTTTTGGTATCACGTCATGGAGTTTTTATTAAGATATATTTATTATCTATTTACATAATATGTAATCATGTTGGAAATATTTGAAAGCCCTTGTTCATATGTATGTACATCTAGGTGGGACTCGAAGCTATATTTATGGCTTTAATCGAAACAAAATTTGAACATGACTACATGCAAAAACTATTTCCAATATTAATATACTTTCTGTTAATCATTGCCTATAGTAAGGAAACCTGTAATGATATTATGTTAAAAATAAAGAGTCTAATACTGTCGCAAATCATTAGAGGTCAAATAAACGTACTCAAATGAATTTCAAAACATAATAAAGGTTTTATGTGATTGAAACTGTAATGGTTTAAAAGCACTGTGACGCTACATTCGTCGCTGATTTTTTATCAGAATGACAAAGCCGATTTGCTTACAAATATGTGTATACCTAATAATATGTAACTTGCATGCGAATGTTTTAATATTTCGTTATTAAGACTATAAGTACTATATAATTTAATTATACCAACCATTGTTAGTTATAATAATATTTTTGTTAATTAAGTATCTGTTTATTGTAATTGTTTACATGGAATTATGCAGTTTTATAAATATAATTTTTATATTATTAAAACTAAAATTCCATCTCATGGTAAAAATATTGAAATTTATATAATAATAAATAATTTATTAGAGGAAATTCGCTTCGTTTACGTACAAATATTATATTATTTTAAAACTCGTTTTGTATTTATATTCATAAGCTATTTACATTTTTTTTTGTGTCAATTCTAAATTAACACAACAATTAGTGTAACTAAATTAGATTAGGTGTTTAGATGTAAATAGTAGATTAAAATTTTCAGTTAGTTTCACTAACGAATGTTAATTTTAATTAGGTAGATGGTTCCATGGGATACTTAAAATAATGTTTGTTACACAGAAATAGATAAACATGAATTAATACAAACTGTGTGTTATTTATCAACCATTTTAAAAATTTCAGGCTCAATATTCCATTTATTCAATTAATAAACTTCAAAACATATCATATTAAAAATATGTATAATCAGATTTCTTGATTAATTAATGTGATATTTTAAACTTTCCTATGACAATCTATTAGTAATGAAAGACATTTTCGTTTTATTCATTTATTAACATTGTTAGAACATCATTCGATTTAACGTTTGAGACTAACGAACTCCAAAGTTAACAAAATCGCTAGAGCAAACACGACGGGGCCCCATTCTATCGATTTGCTCGGCGTTTACTAGAAACTTTAACTTCGCAATGTTCGATTTCTGCCTTTCTTTAAACTTCCGCCGCCGCCTTTGAGGTTTCTAAAGCGGAAACCTCTTAGAAGTAGGTGATTCTGCTTCAGTTTTCACGAGGGGCTATTACAAGTGTTTACGATGTGAATCTGTACGTATAAAGAAAGGCACGTGCAAACCGTACTCTCGATGGTCTTGTAGCGTGTTTAAGTGTTCAAATGGAGCAGTATTTCGAAAGTAATGCCACGATTTGTGGTAGTTCACTAAATATATTTTATGTATTTAACTTCAATGAAGGTAAATAATACCTACGATACTCTGAAGGTAAATGTTTGATATATATTATATAAACCTTATTATTATCTATCTATACATGATATAAGACAAAGTCTATATGCTGTTTTCGTCAATATCAAATGTGATTCGAGATTGCTCCT